TTTTTTTTTTTTTTTTATTTCCGAGTAATATTATTTTATTTGAGGGCGTGTTATTGACAAGAAGATAGATAGAAAATGAATTATAATTTAACTAGCGGGAAACGAGGGCTAAGTAATTAAACTCCATTAATCTCCATTAATCCTTCTCTAATCCCCTTTCTTGATTACCAATTCTGTCTCTTATACATGTGTAATTCAGGTTGCATTTTTCCAATTCCGTTTGCGATAATACAGGGTTTAGTATCCTTAAAAATTCCAGAGCAGTGCCGGTCCCAAGAATTTGGAGGCCCTAAGCAAAAAATTATTTTGAGGCCCTATATTTTTTTTTTACACGTGTAACAATATTTAAATAAAAAAATATATCTATATAACTATATTCAAATGAAAACTTCGTACAACCTAAAAGATAGAATTACAAAATAAAATATCACTTACAACCCGAGAGATTACACTAGAATCATATTTAGTCTTCTCACGTTTTGAATTTCATTGTTTCAATATTCTTCCATCGAGAATGAAGAGGACAGAATTCTGAAATCCACAAGTCCAAAATTCTTCCACAATTCTACCCATAATCATCATTCTACAATCCAAAAATTTAAGGACAGAATTCTAAATTCAGAAATTCCAATTCAGTGTTGTGTCCCCATTAGCAGTAAAAGTTGGGCCAAACCATATCTCTAAAAAACTGGCAAGTTTTTTTTTTTTCCCTCAAGAATATGCTATGCAAATGATGGCTTTTAATTGTCTATATCACAAAGACAACTCTAGCAAACGTATGGCTAGGGGGAAATAGAAGGAAATTAAAATTAAAACTTACCAGATATGCTCGTCCATACAAGAAAATATATACCATAAGAATCGTCATCTATGTTAGAAAAAGGAGATTAACATACAGTTTTACGAAATGCAGACAATAATAACAAACTTTTTCAATAAACAAGGTTAACTAAATTAATTTAAATAATGAATAAGAATTAAGATAGGTTATCAAAAGACGATTCTTGACAGAACAAGGCAAACAGGTTAATATGATTAATACACATATTCAATAAATGTGACTTAAAGAGTTAATACCTAAATAGATGAGCACACAGGGTTGGCCGTTGGAGAGTGGAGATGAGCAGGAGCTGCAGCAGGACGCTGGCTTGAGTGGAGGAAAACAGAAAACTTATGGGCAAAATAGTGGTTCACTGACATAGAAAAGAGAAAACTTTAACAGAAAAGTTTTTGAAGAGGCCAAGAGGAGATTTCAGCCTTCAGATTTGGGAATTCTAATTCTCTGAATTGAAGAAGACGAGTAGACGACTTACCTTTTGGTCGAATTGGTCCCTTCAGCTTCCTTCCCATCCCTTCAATTTCCTTCCTGCTTTCTGCTGGACTCGAACATGGACTACTGATTGATAGCATTCCTATGAGTTTTGAGGCCCTGGGCCCAAGCCACATTTTTGGAGGCCTAGGGGCCGGCCTTGCTCCAGAGGAAGCTCTGCCGTTGCGAATCTCGGTACTCGATGAGCCACACGCCCCGATCCGATTGAAACCTACCAAATCTGAATCATTAACCTGAAATCCTGCTACCCGGCTTCTCACTGTCCATCCTCCCCTTCCCCGTCCACTTCATGCGCTAAGCTTTCTCCTGATCGGAGTTTCCGGCAAGAAGAAATCACCTGCGGAAAAGAGCCTTCTCGACGAATCCTCGATCGGTCCATTGATTGTTATAAGGAAGGATTGAAGATACAGATGGAAGCCTTGGGGGATAATGATCCCAGAGTTGCTGAGACTTGCAGGTAAAACTTACCTTTATCTATTTTTTTGTAAAGTTTTGGATGTTTTATTTTAATTAGCATTTTATAAGTAATTAGGGTATGATTGAGTTTTGTTATACTGGAATTAGTGTACAATGTGATATTGTGTATAATATTGGGAGGAGTTTTGAATTTTCCATGCATATAAATGTAATAAAGTGGAAATGCTTAGCGGAATCGAGTTTTCTTATCTTTTGATTTTGGTAATTTTTTAGAAAAAAGCTGTGTGTACAGCATTTATTTTCACAGCATTTTTCACACTCCCTCATAAAGGTGGGGTCCATGAGTATTTTAATCATAGACCCCACCCACTTGCGCGTGTGTGTGAAAAAAGTTATGAACAATATGTTGTACCTACAGCATGACCCAGTTTTTTATATGTCATAGCATTGTAACTAGCATGAAATAATCATGGACCCCATCCACTTGCGCGGGTGTGTGAAAAAAGTTATGAACAATATGCTGTACCTACAACAGAACCCAATTTTTTATATGTCATAGCATTGTGACCAGCATGAACGTTTACTTGGAAATGGAACTAGCAAGTCGGGTTTAGCAATGCATATGGAGAGATTCCTGAATTTAATTGGATTAATATTCAAGAACATTCTAGCCTTTGTAGTGCCTTTTGAAATTGATTTGTTTGAGAGAAATGAAATTGACTCGTTCATTGAGAGAGAAAACGAAATGGACTCCATAATCAGAGAGAGAATGANTATAAATGGTGAAAAGTGACTTTCGTGTGAACTTCTGTCAAATATTCGAACTTGATCCGATGGTCAAATTATAAATGAAAATATACTAACTTGTTCTACTCATCCAATAAATCGTCGTGGTATATTTGGAAAATTAAAATCAATTCCGAATGAATGAGAAATTGCAATCCAAAGTTGGAAAGAAAATAGAGAAAAACTGGCCTAACTCCGTCACTAGCGTGTCGCTCATCACTCAAGCGACATGCTAGCAACAGAATGGTGAAAAACTCTCTGTAAATATTTTGACATTGATACTTGAGCAAGAGGTTAGCGACATGCTAGAGACAGCAAGTGATGTTTTTGTTCGTAAGATTGCAAGGTTTGGCACACAACATTTCGCCCAAATCCCCATCCTCTATAAATAAGACACTTTGGATGTCAATTAGCCATCACATATCACTTTTGCATTGAGCATTGTATTAAATCTCTTGATAAATCATTTCCAAAATCATTCGAAACTTCTTCCTTCTAGAGAGGAAAATTCTGTCAAAAAGTTTGCAGGAACTTGTGGTTTGAAGTGATTCTATCATAAATTGTATCCGTTGTATCTTGGGAGACAAGTGCCGTAATTCATGAACACTGTTGTGGGACAATATTGTCTTAAGAAAAGAGTGACATTTAACTTGCCTCGAATGATCCTTTTCGTCTTCATTTCTTGTTTCTTTGTGTTTTTTATACCATCAAGTTCTTTCTATATATATTGTTGTGTTTAGTGCGAATTAAAACAACCCTTCCACTATCAATTTCCTGCATCTTTTCCATCAACTTCTGCTTACCCTGGAACAGTTCTTGCATAATAGTAAGAATCTTCTTCATTGGTTAATGTTATTACGATTATTTGTTATTTTCAAGACAGAATACTAGGTTTTGTTCTAGACATGGTCTTGGAGTAAGGGCGTCTAAAAGTGACATGTAAAAATCCCGACTCTCGAAAAATCCACTGGTGGAGAGTTCTGTTACTAATGACATGACTCCCTCCCACTAGTTGAACTGTGGTTTCATAATAGACCATGGTGGAAACCACTATGCTTCAAGAACAGGACTCCAATATATTCCCAGTGACTTCTGCCCTAACCATTTAACATATTTTGAGTCAAATTCATAATCATAATTGGTACAGTTAATGTGGACGTTTGACTTTTTGAGGTGATTGATAATGGGAATTGCAATTCAACATATAATTCAATGAAGCTTTTGAGTAATAGGCACAATAGCTTTGGTACAGTTCCATTTTACGACTATAAAAGCGCATGTTATATACAGTTAGTGCATAACAACACTGCATAAAATGAAGACATTGCTTGTAATTCTCCTCCTCCTTTCCGTGTGTTCATCATCGTTAGGTGAATTATGATCAGAAAGAGATTAATTCCTTTGGAAAAGATTATCTTCAATTTTAGAGTGGCTCGACTAATACACGTCGTTTTGATCTCTTGCAATACAGGTTATAGCTATGGCCTCGAAGATGTTGAACGACTCTCTAATTTTCCTCGCAAGGTATATATTATGAGCACTAAACTCCTCACACATGTATAACATATTTGATATTATACTCGACTAAAAAAAACTAGACATGATAACTGAAAATATTAAGTTTGACTCCCAGATGCGGTTGATGAGGGAGCTAATAAGTGTGCATGCGGTGCTTGATTATTGCGACGGCAAAGCCAACCCGGTGCACGAGCCAGGGAAAGGCAAAGGCTGTGGGAATTAGGCTAAAACTTGTCCATGTTGATTATCTTCCATCGTCCTTCTAGAATGCCATCTCTTGATCTCGATTCGATTTGTGATGGTATATTGATTTGAATGTATTTTGTGAACAAAATGTCATAGAATAAGAGTTCCTATGAAGTTATAAATTGAAAGTTGATTAAAAAAAGAAAAAAAATTGTGTTTAAAATCAATTTCTTTATTTGACATAAGATCAAGTGACTTGGTTATTTTTAATTTGCTATTATATACAACAACTACAAAAATTCTCATTGCTGGAGTATAACAAAAATTTAATATAATCCAAATTTTTTTGCTTGATTTTATGACATTTTGTAAAGCCGAGGTTTCGGATTTAACAATTGAATCATGAAGGAAACTGATTGAATAACCCCCTGTTTCACAGTTGTTTTTTCAAATTTTCGAAGAATACGTGGTTAAAAAGTGAAAAATGAAGTTTCAATTTACGTGAAGAATATTTTGATTGTGAGAATATCTGGTTGAAAATGAGTATGAGAAAAATAATTGTAAATGATGATCGTCAAAGAGGGGCTAATTGTTATTTATCAAATAAGTTAAATTATTACCATATTCAATTACAACTCTTCCCAGTTATCATTGTTGCTTCTGGAGTATAAGTTTCTCTTTGAAATAATCCGACAGAATTATCTTATGTAACGCTAGGTTCCGAAATAATTAAAGTGTGGGTCCCACTGAAATTTATGCTCAAAGTTGACCAATTTTACTAACCATTTTCCAACAATCTTCCCTCTGCGCCATCCAGGGAGATGTTCGATAGGCAAGACATTATTGAAATTAAAACATTTCAATCCGGGGCAAGTAGGTTTGGTAACAAGTCAGGACCAAAGTAACCATTACTCTCCCATCCCGTCATGAATTTTCAGGAGGCAAGGACGGGCATTATGGGGATGGGAATTAAAAAATTTCATTTATCGACCTGCTAAATTAACTAATTATTCTAATATTATTATTTAAATATATTTTAAATTAAAAATTATAAAAATAAAAACTATTTGGGGGTGGATTTGGAGAATTCGGGATAGGGAACATGTTGTCATTTCAATTGGGTTAATGCGGGACGTGACAGAAATTTTTGTCATCTCTAGGGGTGATGATAGTGTATTACATCTTTTTCTTGATGTTACGATTGATTAGAGAATCTCTATTCCGTTCGATATTAACGAGAGTATAGTATTTGTTAGAGCAATAATCTTACCCTGATTTTTTCATTAATTGGAGAGTCTTGTCCCTAGGTACTGGAAGGTTGCAAGACATTTAGCTCCCGTTATTTGGTATTATAATTTTTGGAATAGTATTTTTTTGGAAAATGTGTTGTTAAAAGAGAAGAAATTTTTTTTGATTTACATAAAATATTATTTTATAAGAAATTATATTGTTGAAAATAAGAGAGAGAGAGAGAAAAATTATAATGTGAAATAATGGGGCCAGCGGTGACTTTATTAGTCACAACGCCTCAAATATCAAACATGAATAAATTTATAAAATAATAATTATTCATAATCAAAACTTGTGTAACTAACAACAATCATGCTGCAGGATAACAAAGGCAACAAATAAAACACACAGACATGATTCCTCATAATGTGATGCAGAGCCACAAGTTTTGTTGGGGATGGGCCCAGGGCCACTAACACAAATGGCCTGAGTGTTTGACTTTAATGCTCTTCTGGCCGTTGGATTGTTCCGAAGATCCAATGGTCGCTACAAGTATGCACTCCTCTCACGAAAGGCATCCTCTTTCGGCTTTTGCATTTCGTTTCGTGCTTAATCGTACCCCCACCTGATACAAAACCTTTTCTATTCTCCTATCTCGACTATATAGAGTTGTTTTGCTTTTATTTTCTTTAATATTATTGAAAAATTAAATTTTGCCAATATCTTTTCTAATTTATCTCTATTTAATTTTTAGTATATAGTAATAAATTATTGTTAGAATTAGTAAAGAATTTGAATAACTTAATTTGAAGAAAAAATGAGAGTTGTTCCATGTTTTCAAGAAGTAGGAAATATGTATATTTGAACGATTTCAAGAAGTTTACATATTAAGTGAAGAAAATTAAATAAGAGTATATTGGTAAATAAAAAAAACAAAATATTCTAAATTGTGAAACATGCCTATATACTTAGAACAAGAGAAAAATGAAATCTACCCTATATAATTGGCACGGAGAGATTATTTATTTTTCACCGAAAAAATAGATATTCTAATGCATCAAAAAATGCAAAATTTTCCACTCTCACCTGGTCCAAAAAGCAATTACATTTTTTTTTTTTAAATAAATGCATCTAAATTTTGAATTATGGCTTTATTACAGAGTTGGTTTTTATTATCAATATATATATATATATATAAAGAAGAAAAAATCCAAGAATTGGATGGAACTCTCAATTTTGTAACCTCATAATAATCAACCAACCATTTCCACAAGAGATCCGCTATTTGTCCGGGGCCATATGGCCTGGACAGGTTGAATAATCCTTCCACAACAGTTTTTAAAACTAAACCTAAACCTAAACCTAAAGAACTTGCAACATAGGTTCCTAACTTCTTACCAAAATGTATAATAAAACAAACTAAAAATAGTTCGGTTTAAAAAAAAAAGAAAAAAGAAAAAAAGAAAAGTATAAAACATGGAAAGGGGGAAGAAAGTGAGGCCCCAATGTCTAGCCCCTAACGAAAATGTAAGCAGTTGCATCGAAGAATCCCAAGTGATATTTAATTAGGGATGGGCATGGATTGGATTGGGTCGATTTTTACCTCAACCCAACATTGTCGGTTTGTTCGAAATCCATCCCAACCCAACCCAACCCAAACCAAACCAAACCAAACCAAACCATTCATGCGTCGGTTGAGTCCGATTGGGTTGGTCGGTTCGGGACAACTTGTCACGCAAAGATTAAAATGGTGGTTTCAATATCCATTTCCATGCTAATATGGTACCTTCCTGGAGCCATAATACACATAAAAATGAGAACGACGAAATTTTCCACATAATTACAAAAGTTCCTAAACATAAATGCACAGAAGAGAGACGATCTCTACATAATACAGAAACCACATATTACCCATTAACTTAAACTATATTTGTGAAAACATTCATGTATGCTCAAGAAGCTAGAAATTTGAGATATTGCTAAACCCAAAACAGAATAATAATCATCAGCAATCTCTTCATATGATTCTGAGTACTGGGAAGCAAATCTGACTCGAGACAATTTTTTTCTTCTACCATGACTATTCCAATTCACACCAAACAAGGGGAGTCTATTTCTTGAACAGAAACCCTGTACATGAAACTTAAATTTGAGAGTATTTGTACACACTGGTGATAGCAATTGAGCCATCACAAAAAAGAATCAAAACTAAAACTGGTTCAAGAATTGGAAATAATTGATGTAATTTTCTGTGTTTAATGAAAGTTTCTTGATTTATAAGGAGAGGAAAAAATTAAGAGTAGAAAAATGAAAATGGGAAATTTACTTACCCTAGTCACTGTAGTGTGGACAAAACGATGACCGGCAGCTGGAGAACGACGATTGCCGCCGGCGATTTGAGAGAAACTGAAGGAGACAGACTAGGTGTCAAGGACCGCAGCTTTACTTAGCCCCTTGACACTATCGTAATCGTAGTTTGCCCAACTTCGTCCACACATTGTAAATATTATTTCAAATTTGAGTTGTAATTTTCTTTTCATTGTAATAGTTATTTCAGTTGTAAAATAGCTCTGATATTAATAAACGTTTAGTATGATTCCTCGTCTTTTAAACGTTCATCCCTGTCACTTAGGTTTTTGTTCAGAATGCTATTATAGGAGTTATTAATCATTCAAAAATCTTTCAAACTCACTAGTGTCCGCCTCCTGCACCAGCAATTATAATTTTCTGCTTTTGTCAATTGTAATGTTCAGTTTTCATCAATCAATGTTCAATTTATTTTCACTGTATTCAAATTTTCTATTATAAGATTTCTACAAAATTGTAATCAAATTTTCTTTCGTCTCGAGGCGACCGAGAAAAAGCGGAAGGTAGTCTAGTGGAGCAGACTATTGCCGCACGGTATCCCTTTCTGTGCCAAGAACAAAGGCACCCCGTGAAAGTTGATATCAGAGTTGCGGCTCATGACCCTCGATAAGAAAGCTATGGATCCAATTACATCCCACATCACTGAAGTGGTAGAACCTCAAAAGAAGGGTACTTCTAAACAGCGCGTGGATACGCTTGATGAGACAACTACTAGGTTGTGCCGTGCCTTGGAAGGTCTCGAGCAAAAAATCGAGATGGCCGAATTCGAGATTCGTGGATTACACATCCAACTGGATGAAAGCCAAAGGGCTTGCGCAGCAATGACTGAAGCTGCTGCAATCATTTCTGATCTGCAGGATGAAATGGAAGCGTTGAGAGCTCAATTGCGGGTACTCCAACATGCAGTGGGCAATGGGCAAGCTCCCGTACCTACGGAGGGGCACGTGATGCAAAAAAAGTCCAAAACTTCTTGTTTGATATGGAACAATACTTTCTTGCAGCTTCGATCGAGGATGAAACTAGAAAGGTAACCACAGCTACTATGTATCTGGGTGGAGATGCAACACTATGGTGGCGAATCAAATATGCTGATATTCAGGCCCACAGGGCTCGAATAGATTCTTGGGATCTCCTCAAGGAAGCGATCAAATCGCTGTTTTTCTCAGAAAATGTTGAGTATCGGGTTTGACGAACACTTCAAGACCTGAAACACACGAGCTCTATCTGGGAGTATGTGAAATCCTTTTCAGGACATATGCTGAATATTCGAGATATGTCGAAAAAGGATAAACTCTTCACCTTTATGGAAGGGTTGAAACCGTGGACACGCACGAAACTTCAAAGACAGAAAGTTACTGATTTGAGCACTGCCATGGGAGCCGCTGAATGTTTGAGTGACTACCAAACAGAATCTAGAAAAGATCGACCTTCAGGGAGTAATCAAGCAATTGGAGGTGGTAACATATCTTACAGACCCAGTTCGAACTTAAATGGGGGAGAACGTTACTCTCAGAATAGAGAAGGAGCCTATCAAAGTACTCGAGGCTTTCAGGGAAACTATCATAATAGCCGTCAAGGAAATTTTAATGGCAGCAACAGTAACAACTGGAACAAAGGAAAAGCAACGGAGGGCCGAACTGATACCACT